AAAGTTTTGAATCCCAATAATGTACTCTGTAACCACCAAGAATACATCATAGACACATTTGTACAGCACTGCAATGACTGGAATGTGCTTTTTTGTTTCTTCAGGGTGACATAAGAACAGGAGGTTGGTGTATAGAAGCTAAGGTAAGACTGAGTTGCTGACTCAGCAGTGGATCTAAGTTGTGGATCCTTCACCTTGGTGATGGGAAGTTGCACAGACTAACGGAGCAAAAGCATCCGGAGACTGGAGCCATGGGAAGTAGAAGTTCAGGCACGTGGGGGCAGCAACCTATGGTCTCAAAGAGCAGTAGGCACACTCAGGGAACATTTACTTTCCTCTGGAAGATCTGGACAGGTAATCAGGGCAGAGATTCAAGGTCCAGGGGTCCAGGCACTGGTCTCAGAAAGGTTAGCAGGACCTCGGTTTTACATCTCACGGCAACAACATTGTTCTGAAATCTTGTGTGAGGCAAGAGTGTGTCAGGAACAACACTCAGCTGCTGAGCGGAAACCTGGTGCCCAGATTTGGGTTAAGCGAAGCAAGAGAAGGAACAGGGAGTCGAGGTAAGGCAGTGCAAGCTCAGAACATAGGAAACCTGGATTTAAATTGCAGTTGTAGAAAGGGAACAGTTGAAGGGGGGATTGCACTTGTAAAAAGGGTAAAACTGAAGTGTGGGTGTGGCAAAATAATGAACTGTAATTTTTTTAGACTGTCACTCATTTAAAACTTTTATATTTAAATTATGAACTGTATTTTTTGAGCTGAAAAGCTGGCAGTTAAACCCCAGTGATCTATAATTATCCCATAAAATACTCTAAAATACATTTTTCATTAAGATATATTGATTCTGCGTGTTTACAACAGCAGTGAGATATGTAACATCATATAAATTCTCCAAGTCACTGAGAGGAAAAGTTTGTATTTTTAGAAATTATGATGGCACTGTTCCATTGAAATCACCCATGTCATAATGGTTGCTAATAAATCAGAATTCTTTAAAGTAATGGGAATAGGCCATGAATATCAAAGAGACCGTGACACAATCAGAACTTTAAAGATGCTTACTCATGTCCTTACTATCTTTGCACCATGACAAAAGGTAAGAAATGGGAACGGCAAAATGGAAGGCGAGATAATTTATCACTGTTTTCTCATTTTAACGTATGGCCACAAAAAGGTATGCTTCTTTTCTGAGATGACGGGGACGTCCTCATTTCCTTCTTGACTTCTCGCTTCATTTTTAGCAACATTCAAATGTTTTGAGATACGAATGCCATTATGTCTAGTAGCTGTTTGCTGTCGTAAGAAGCCAGATTGCACATGGGGTTGGCTCACTGTTCTCCAGCACACTAAGGCTGACGTGCTAAAGAGCTCACAGGGAGCAGGGCCCAATGGCTACGGCATAGTGAATATCATACAGAGTGGAAAGTAGTTTTATTTGCATGACCATTGCAGATGTGGCTGTTCAGTCGGGGTAAACAAAAGGAGCCTGCACTCTCTTCTGCAACATGTTCAAGGTGTAGTACAGAATCTTGTTGATTTAGCTTAGTATTATGTAATTTTGAGATAGATTACTTCATGTGCAGAGAAATAATGAGAAAAAATTGTATTCCAAAAATTTCTATTTCTTTTTCACTGTTAGCATCCTTCATGTATTAGCAATAAATCTACGGTGTGTTTGCTACAATTTATGTATAGGTTTAGATGCGACAGTCAAAATCCACCCCATAGTATCATCAAACATGTAAGTGGCAAAAGTAGACTATTCTAAGAGTAAAGTGACTTTTCAGAGATTATACAGATATTTCACTAAAGCTTATTTTTATGATATATGTATCATAAGGTGTCTGATATATAAACTTTGCCAGTAGAAACACAATATGGCATTCCATATAGATGGTACTTTGTTCTATGGGACAAGCCATGTAACTGCGGATCCTGTTTCATGAACCAGAAAGTGAGCTTTATAATTTAGATAAAGATCTGAACATTTTGTCAAAAGTCTTTTTAGAGGAAAATATTGCAAACACCACCAACAAACAACAAACACCACCACCTAGCTTAGATTATTATGACTTGCACATAAGAAAACTACATGATCTGATCCTTTCACATATGGGGCATCTTCCATTTCTTTAGAGATTCCTGCTTTGGCTCAGTAATACTGAAGCTTTTATCTCCTGTTTAATAATTACAAGTTTCCAAAACTTCAAAAGACATAATGAAAATCATGCAGGTCATTAGTTGCTCCCAAAGTGATGTGTCCAGAGAATGCCTGTATCCTCAAACTATAAAAAATAATAAAAACTGTAGTGATACGAGCCCAAAATAGGTTTAATTTCCACACACATTATTTAGTGGCGATCACATAAATATTTTTTTAACAGTAGTGAGTCCCTACTGAATTCTAACAAATTATTAGGTGATCTGTTCCACACAGTATAGAAGTTTTATAAATTCTTGCTCTCTCTTTCTCCCAAGACTTCCAGACTGACTCCCCCAAGTGGATATCTGAGAAATTTAGCCATGTACCTCAAAATAACTGACATTTCATAATGAGCTTTGATCAATCCACAACAATTTTGTATCTTTGTTTAGAAGCATGGCACAAGGAGAGTTTCCCTTAAATGAATCAAGCACTCCCCTCACCTACCCCCATAAATTACAATTTACTCAGATAACTATTGCCTCTCTTATAAATGTTTTTGACTCTCTACTCTCCTTTTCCTCCAAAGAGTAAAATCGAACTGGCAGATTCCTTTAAGGACCATACTGTGGTTTGCAGAGTCAGTGCTATATAAAACCTTCCACAGGGGACACCAAGAATGGGATCTTGAAATCTTGACCTTCAGATAAACACATTGTATCAAAGTGCAGTTTGCTCGGACGCAGGAGCATCAGGATGTCTGGAATCTGCTTTAACCAATTAAGCCATTCAAGGCAAATAAAGCCTTCAGCAAACCCACTGAAGGCACCCTCTGCCAGCCTCCCGCTGCCTGTAATGGATCTTTTTAAGTGCAGACTAAGGAGTCGCTGGTGTCTACCCGAAGGGATGCTCTCCCCCCGCCTCGGAGGACACGAGGAGGGGGTCGGCTGGGGAGGAAGGGTGGGGGGCGCGTGCAGGCCGCTGGCTGCCTCGGCCCCTGAAAAACCCGGCGGGTCTGTCCGCAGGGAGCCGAGCGCCCCGCCCGCCTTCCCTGTTCTCCGCCGAGCAGCCCGTTAGTTCCCTCGCGGGAGGCTTTCCGCGCGGGGCGCTCCCAGGGCGACCGCTTTTGTTCCCTGCCCTGCCCGTGGGAAGGAACTGCGGAGAAACGCCGCGCAGGCCCGGCCGCAGCTCCTTGCGGGCAGCGTCCTTCCCTTCCCGCTCTGGCCACCTAGGGAGACCCGGGTCCTGGGGGGGGGACGCCAGCT